GCCAGACACCTTGTGGCAGGGGGAGGGAAGTGCCTTACTAGAGGGACCTGGGGGATCAGGTATCCATCAAAGCCTCTCACTATAGGGCCCCCTCCAGCAGGCTCCCACCCCGGCTCCTGTACAGAGTCCTCTAGGCCACATCCACCACCAAAAGGGTTAGATCTCCACACTATTATTCACTGGGGTCCAGCTATTAGGGCAGGCCTCGCTGATCCCCCCAAGCCTCTCTTAAAGAGAAATCTGGAGGAAAACCAAGGTATTGCTCATACAGGGTGAGGAGACTAAAGAAGACCCCAGGTACCCCATGTATTAGGGGACCCACCCTCCACACCACCCAGCCCTCCTTTCCTTTCCTGAACTCTCCACAGGCCCCCTCCCCTGGCCAGCCCTCATCCCTGGGGAGCCCTGGCTGGGAGGGGGTGGGCAGGCTGGGCAGGACCCCAGTTTCTCCCCAGAAAGACTACAGTTGGAGCCAAGCAGCAGGTGTCTCAGGCACGTGGGTTCACGGACGTGGCTCAAGCATCAGTTTATCATCAGCAAGTGAGGCCCGGGCCGGCTGCTTGGCCCCCAGCGGGGGCTCACACTTTGGTTGGTGGTTTCTCTTCCGCCTTAGAGCCAGGCAATCCATTCTCTGTGTTATCATTCCCTGAGGAACTCACGAGGCACTCCTTCCTGGAGAGGGAGAGAGGAGGAGAGGGGCCAGAGTAAGGGGTCGGCTGTGGACAGGAGCCTGGGCCCCGCGGCCAGCCCCGCGCCCTCTCCCAAAGGTGGCAAGAGGTCAAGTCACCCAACCTCTCTGGGCCTCGGCTTCCTCATCTATAAAATGGATGTGACGATGACGCCTTCTTCGTGGGGGTGCCGTGAGGCATCAGGGAGCACTGAGAGCAGTGCCTGGCACGCAGACAGGACCCAGTGAGACCCATCATCACCTAGTCGTCCCAGCGTGGCGGAAGGCAAGGGCACCAACCAGGTGCTAGTCGCAGGGATCAGTGCTCAGGGGAAGCCAAACCAGGTTAATTCCCAGGCTGTGCCAACCCAGGGGGAAGGGTGCGGGCCGCAGTATGCGCAAGGGCAAAGAGCTCCTCCCCCAGACGCCGGCAGGCCCCTCCTCTCTGGGCTGGCTGTGACAGGAGGGAGGAGAGTGCTCCCGACAGAGGATCTGGCAGCAAGGAAGGCAGGTGTGGGCAGGGTGGGGTGGGACGGGGGAGACAGCAGCAGGAAGGAGGGATGGTTACGTGGGAAGACACCCCCCCGGGGAGGTTCACCACCCTGGCTCCAGAGTGAGTATGGCCCACCTCACCGCCAGCGCCCACGCTGTGCAGGGCTCTCCGGGGCTACATCACTCCGAGCTTTCGGCTCAGGAAAACTTCCGAGCCTGTTTCACGGCCGCTGTGGCTAAACTATCTCAGCCTCACCCTGGACTTGTGTAGCCGGCTTTGAGGCCTTCAGGAAGGACTTACTATTTTGTCCTCATCGATTTTGTCTTGCACAATTTAGTCCATAGCTCCAGCCTTTGAGCTCCTCCTAGATCCCAGTTTTGCTCTCCAACATAGTCACTAGGTTCCTGAAAACCTGGTATCATTCCTGGCGTAATTCAAATCTTAGTAACAATGAATAAGCAGAGCCCTGTGGCATACCACTAAAGACCTCTATTCAGATGGATCTATCGATCGATCGATCGATCGATCTCTATACCTAAGGTATAGTCAACCCAGACAGTTCCTATCCACCTAATTCTGCTCCCAAGCACTCCATATTTCTTTACTGAGAATCTGCTGGGTACCAAGCACTGTGTCAGACTAGAAGACTCCCTGCTCTCAGAAAATTTACAGTCTTCCAGAGAATGTGACATTAAATAAGTAACCACAATACAATGTGATAAATGATAGGATGAAGGGTTTACCAAGGAAGGATCCACCTAGGAAGCCTCCTTCTAGGGATCAGGGAGGGTTCTTCGGACATGTCACAGAAGTTGAGACCGACAAAGATGAACAGGAGAGGAGGGAGGAGACATTTCAGACAAAGGGAACTGCCCCCACGCGTGGAAATCCAGAACTGATCCTGAGATGCTGTCCAACACCTCCCTTCTTCTCGGGAAGCCACCCGATCTCTGCTGTTCATGCGGGCTTTCCTCGCGCTCAGACGACCCCTCTCAGGCTTCCCTGTGGTCTGTCTCCCACCCCCAGCCTCCCCCTACCCAGTCCCTGTGCTCACCAAGGCCAGACTCTTTCTTCCAAAGCCCTCTGATCATGCCAGGCCCTGAAAGCCCTCGAGAGCTCCACTGCACCCAGGAAGAAAGCCAATCTCAACCTGGACTCCCAGCTCCCCAGGGATCTCCCCCCAATGCCCTCTGCAGGCCTGTTCTCTCCTTCCCCGCCACCGCTCCCCCTACTCTCTCGACCAACAAAACACCTTGTTCTCCAGACACATGTCTCTTCCTAGACTCTCTGCCTCTGCTCTCAACAGTTCTGCAGTGCCCTTCTCCTCACTCTCCCCAGGACTTACATTAGATCCATCTTGCAAGGCCTACCAGAAACGTCCTTTGGCCAAAAACCCTTCCCTAGTGTTCCACCTTCTTTGGAACCCCTGGAGCATTCTATTGCACCTCTTTGCTGGCACCCATCCTCTCTACCTTGTCTTACATTTATTTGCATACACACCCTGTCTTCTTTACTTAAGGGCAGAATCTCATTCCTTCCAGAATTTCCTACAGCACCTGGTACAGTTCCTTGCACACACTACCTCAAAAAAAGCCATCAAATGAAAGAAGGAATGAATGAACTCTGGATATACTCCCCGAATCAGTAGGGTATGGTGAAAGTGGTTAAAGCTTTGAAGCCAAACAAGTCAGGATGCAAATCTCAGGTCTATCACTTTCTAGCTGTGTGGCCTTGGGCAAGCCACGTCACCACTCTGAGCCTCACCTTGCTCAACTGTAAAATAAAAATTGTGGCTATCATATAAATACCTGGCAGAGTACCTAACACACGGTAGGCATTCGATGAATGACAAGAAGTGTTATCATCCGTAGCCATCTCCTGATCCACCAGTGCCCTAGCAAGAAAATGTTTGGTCTGCCTTGTCCTTGATGAGCCCATGGTGGCTCCCGAGGATCACGGTTTTCTTTTCTAGGTGCTTTTAAACCACAGGTTGAATAATCTGCTCTCCAATTTTGCTAACCATCAATAGCAAAACTGGTTGTTAAAAAGAGAATTTGGTCTAACTCCATGCCCCTGGCCCCTCTCAAAATATCCAAAACCCTGGCCACGATGCAGGGAGACAATCCCAGAATTCTTCATCTCAGCCAATGCCTCCCACTCTCCACTCCCCTTGCCGTCCCCTTAATATCCCCCTGCTTTCAGCTTCCCTCCCCTCTTACCAGCACAATTTCTGTCCTTTCCAGCCTAATTCCCTCTTCTCAACAAAGCAGAATGATGGGAACAGAAACAGAGCAGCATCCCTTCCCCCTTGAATCTCCTTGCCGCTGTCCCCCTCTTGGCTCCAATGCCTCCTCTCATCTTTCTTGCTGATAATACAACTTCCAGGGGCGCCTGGGTGGCTCAGTCCATTAAGCGTCTGCCTTTGGCTCAGGTGGAATGCAGACTGACCTGGGGTCCTGGGATCAAGCCCCGAATTGGGTTCCCTGCTCAGCAGGGAGTCTGCTTCTCCCTCTCTCTGCCCTTCCCCCGACTCATGCGTGCTCTCTCTCTCAAATAAATAAATAAAATCTTTAAAAAAAAATACAACGTCCAAATACCTTTTTACATTCACTCCTGCTTCTCTGGAGCCTGACACAGTTCTGGCAATTCTGGGCCTGGAGCAAGTACTCTCTCTACCTCCCCGTCTTCTCTCCCCTTCCCCTTAGAGATGTCTATCTCAAACCTGAGCTGTCCCTGGGGCTTCTGGGGAGCCCCTATCAGCCTTTTTAGATTTTTTTTAGTCTCCCCCAGGTGAGCTTCCAGAATCTCACAGTAAGACTCCCACCTCTCTAGAAGGGTCTTCCCATTTTAGAGTTTCTGTACATGGAATCTTGTCTTTTCTATGATGAAAAAAACAAAGCATCTAAATCCCTTGGTAGGACTTAGGTTGGGGAGGTACAAATGGAAAGAGAGAAGCTAATGGGATGGATTAGGAAGCATGATAAGGAAGAGCAAGTTCATATACTCAGGGAACTCAGTGTGCTCAATAAATACATACTAGGAGGGAGAGGAAGAAGGGCTGGGAGACAGGAAAGAGTGGTAGGAGTGGGAAGAGAGGATGGGATGAGGGGACAATGGAAGGATAAAGGCAGATGGGGGCAGATGACAGTGGAATAAGATGATGTTGGGAGCACCCACAACACAAGATGGGAGTGGGTGGTGGGCCGGTGGGAGGACAGGAGCGTGCAATGGAGTCAACTCACTTCTTCTCCTGAGTCTTCTTGATGATGAAGGCAATGAACTTCTTGACCAGCAGGATGAGGATGAGGAGCCCAATGACCCCACCCACGACTCCCAGGATGATGAGGGTCACCGTGTTGTCCACTTCTTCCACTGTATGGCCAGAGCAGGGAGAGAAGGGGGTGGGAGAGGGGAGCAGGAGACGCCTGGAGCCTAGCACGACGGCAGCCCGATGGCTACAGCCCTCCAACCCTGGCATCTGGGATGTGCCCACTCCCACCCAGCCCCCAGGCCTCCCCAGGCCTTGCAGCAGGAAGCAGAAGCTGGAACATGGCATCTACCAGGATAAGGCACAACACAAAGAGGTTCCTTCCCCCCACCCCCTCCACACACATACCCTCCCACAGACACACACACAGTTCTGGAATAATTCAGACTCAGGGCCCTTAACAGTTTGACTTGGCCGCCCAAACTGCCACATTAAAAATTTCATTGCCTCTTGGGGTGTCTGGGTGGTTCAGTCGTTGGGCGTCTGCCTTCGCTCAGGTCATGATCCCAGGGTCCTGGGATCGAGCCCCGCATCGGGCTCCCTGCTCGGCGGGAAGCCTGCTTCTCCCTCTCCCACTCCCCCTGCTTGTGTTCCCTCTCTCGCTGTCTCTCTCTCTCTGTCAAATAAATGAATAAAATCCTAAAAAAAAAATTAAAACAGCTTTCAAACTTAAAAGTGATGGAAAATGTTTTTTAAAAAAAATTTCATTGCCTCTTTCTGGGCCTCCTTTGTCCACGCAGGAAAAATCAAGAATCTCCCTATAACAACTTTTATGTGGCAGGAAGACTTTGGAGTCAGGGCATCTGGATTTTAACTACAGGATCTCAGAAGTCACTAATGAGCTGGTAACCTTGAACTGGCCACTTAAACCTTCTCCCTCAGTTTCCTCATCAGAAAACTGAGCTGACTTCCAGAACCTGCTCCACTCACCGTCTCCCCCCCTCTGTTGAGAAAACTCCATCCTTCCAGCTGTTCTGACCAAAATCCTTAGAGTCATCCTTGACCCCTTCCTTCTCCAAACACCACATTCAATCCACCTGAGAATCCTAATGGCCCTAACTTAAAAATTCCAGAATCTGACCTCTCAGTACCACACTGGCTCAAGACATCCTGGCCTGGATGTTTGTAGGAGCCTCCTAACTGGACTCCTCATTTCATCGTCTATTCTTGGCCCCGCAGAGAGCCTGTTCTGGGTTAACTCTTCTGCTCAGAGCTCTTCAGTAGCTCCCATCTACTTAGGCTAACAAGGCCCCATACAACATGGCTTAACCTGACTCATTTCTTGCTATTTGCCCTGCTCCAGCCACGCTGGCCTCACTGATGTTCAAGTATCTGCCTCAGGGCCTTTGTACTTGCTATTCCCTCTGCCTGGACTATCTACCCAAAGACATCTTCATTGCTCCCTCAAATGTCCTTATTCTAGGTCACCTTTTCATTGAGGCCTTCCTAGTGACACTGTTAGCACCCCTTTCTCCCTCCCCATTTTGTTTTTTCCCTACAACACCAGCCATGTTCTCTTATACAACATCATTTTCTTCTTTATTTTCTTTACTGCATATCTCCCCTGATGAGAAGGAAATCTCCATAAGGGCAGGAATTTGTCTACCTTGTTCATAGACCTAGTAGGTGCCACATAAGTAGGTGCTCAACAAATATTTGTTGGGCTAGATGAATGAAGGAATCTATAAAAATGGAGAAAAGATCCCTTCAAAGGGACGTGTGAGGGACAAAGGTGCGAAGGTAAGGTACAGCGCCTAACTCAGTGCCTGGCACCCCAAAATGCTCCATAAATGTTGGTTCTCTTGCCCTCCTCTTCCCCCCTGCAAAGGCTGAGCATGAAGTGAGACGACATCCAGACAGAGAGGAAGAGGGGACGCCACACACAGCCTAGACTCAGATGGCTCCAGGCTCAGAGCGAGCTGCCTGGATGGCCTCCGGCTCTGCCCTCGGCACAGCCAACAGTGAACTCATGGGCATCTCTCTCTCTCCAAGGACCCCACTTCATCCAGGAGAGCAGTGAGCCCCCAGGCACCCAAGAAATGCCACACAAGCAGGACCCTAGAGCAGGTCCTTCCTTTTTTCTCTACTTCTGTGCTTCCTTAGCCTTCCAGGCTCCCCATCCAGGAAGCCCAGCATAACACCTCCAGCCTCTTCTCTAACCACCTCTAGTGTCGGGGGTCATGTGACCACCTGGCTGCTCCCCACAGGCTTCTTCATGCCCCCCTGTTCCACCTGTGGCCGACAGCAATCCCCAGCGGGGGTTTAAGCTCCAGAGGGGAGTGGCCACTCTTACCAATCTCAGTTGCCTGTGGCTTTACGTGCTCTGTCCCTCTGTCAGTCCTCTGTTTACCTGTCTTCTGTCCTACCCTGGACTGTAAATTCCTCAAGGAAGAACACTGGGGATCATTCATGTCACTTTTGGTGTGATGCCGGGCATTCGATCAACAGTTGTGAGGGGGATACACAAGAGTAGTAATCATCAGCACACACAGAGAACTTTCCCACCACGAACCATCCTATGTCCCGTCCCTACTTCTCGCAAGCACCCTAGGATGATGCAGATTTTGCAGATGAGGAAAACCAGGCTCAGAGGGGCTAAGTGTGTATCATAAGCTATTCAGTGGCAGAATAGGTATTGGAGCTATGTTATCTGAGCTTCCAAATGTGACTCCAGTAACTTTTGAAAGCATAAAGCAAAAGAAAACACCCATGCGGCTGGGCTGAAATGTCATTTGACCCCACTGAGTGGGGTACCCCGCCGTGCTTCCCACTCCACTGCCCTCGTCCCAGCCACCACTGCTTACATTTATCAACGACTTGGAGGAAGATGGTGGCCTGGTGCTGAAAATTATTCTCCTTGGGGTTCTGCACATGACAGGTGTATTTGCCTGTGTCGCTGAATTCCAGGCTCCTCAGTAGAATGGAAATGTTGTTCATCTTCTCCTTAGTGGAGCCCTCCAGAGTGATGCGATCGTCATTTTTGAACTTCACCTTAGGGTCAGACTTTTCATTCTTCACCGTCCCGTCTATGAGCTATGGGGGGAAGGGGGTGTGGAAGAGATGGCCAAGAAAGAATCAGGGTCCTCAAGGGTCACGACATCACTCCAGCCCAGTCCTTGGGTGCCTCCCTGTCCAGGTCCAGAGAGAGCCTACAGCCAGAGGTGCTCCCCCCACTTGGTTTCCTTCCAGTACCGATAGCGCTGACTGCCCGTCTAACCTGAATTTCACTTGCTTCAAGCTAAGCCCATTTTCTATCATTAGGATCTCCCTGGAACGTAGCACAGCTTTTATCTCTTTCTTCATAAAAGCCTTTTACATCATGGCTCCAGCAATTACCACTCTCATTTCCCTCTGTCACCACCACCACCACCCCCCACAGCTTTTGCTGACAACTTGTCCCCTGTCCATCTGAATTCTGGCCCTCCATCAAGACCTGGATCAATCCTACAGCACTGTCTACCAACGGCCCTGAGCCCAGTGTTTAATCACATCCAGAGCTGGTCTCTTGTGGCTTCCTTATGTACACTTCGGGTCCCCTACGAGACTGCACAGTGAGTACTCACTAAACACCTGTTGACTGGTCCATCCCCACCTCCAGCCCACAGCCCTGCCGAAGCTCCTGCAGAAGAGCTTTCTCTTCCCTAGCTTCCTCTCCTTTCTTTCTAGGGCCAGGTCCCCAGCCCTTCTCCCATTTGAACTCTTCTCATTTCTTTTCTCCAAGCCTTCCAAGGGTCTTTGACTCCCCTGTTTTTTAAATTAAATTATTTTTACACAAGCAATCCAAGTTCAGGCATTTCTTCAGACCAGACAAAGAACTCTAGCCAAGAATTCCAACAAGCCCAGAATTCTGGCAACACCATCTAAGCATCCCTCCCACTTAGATCCTTCTGGACAGGCTCTGGAAAGAACGCTAGGAGAAAGGATGACAAAAGGTAGATTCCGGGGACCATCACAGCGAGGTCAGTCCGGAAGGGACCAGAGCAGGGGAAAGGGAGGCAGAGGCAGGGGCAAGGTGCTAGGGAAGGGAGGAGAGTCTGAGCTGTCCTGTCCCTTCCCCCACTACTTACAGTCCTGAATGTATCACTGGTGTTGTAGGACCACCAGAAGTGGAGGTCTTGGAAGCCAAAGCAGCTGGAGAAGGTGCAGGGCAGCAGGATCTCCGTGCCATTGACAGCGTAGATGGTGGTGGCCTTTCCCACAGACACCTCCAGCGACAGGGACACCGGGAGCAGGAAGAGACCTGTGTGACAGTCGCCACCTCCCTTAAGAAAACCCTACCGGAATCTCCAGCCTGGAGCTCTGGAAGAGGACACTCGGGCAGGGAGGAGTGGTGGCCAGGCAGGGAGGTCGCTGTCACCCTGTGTATCAACTTGGGAGGACGGTTCTCTTCAATGAACACTGCCTGAGCCACCAGCCCTTACTCATTTCTCCCCTTGGCCTGGGCCGGGGAGCTGCCCATGTGGCACTCCGAATAACCACCAGAGGTCACCCGAACCCAGGAAAACGAGGCCCTTGCCGCCTGGCCGCGCCCCTACCCCGCGGGCGCAGTCCCCGCAAGTGCCATCCCGCACCCCCCCAAGTGCGGGACGGGCTCTGCCTGTTTGCAGTGGGAGTTTCCCCTAGGACGGTGCGCGGCCCCCCGGTACCTTTCCCGGATGGGGGGGGAGGCTGGAGCCAGGTCCCTCGCGGTGAAGAGAAAATGGGCAAACGCAGCCGCCACACTGCACCGCGGCCTCCCACCGGCCCCAAGGGGCGGAGAAGCGGAGGGCCACCTCCCGCCCAACCGTGCCTGGTCGGCCGGGTCCCACGCCCTCTGGCCACCGGCCGCGACCCTGGGACCAGGAGGGAGCCCAGGCCGGGATGGGACGGGGCGGCACCGGGCGGTGGCGAGCGCGATCGCAGGAGAGAAAGTGGGAGGGAGGGCGGGAGACACCGGCGGAGGCCGATTCCCTACCACAGGGACGCTCGAGAGCAGGGGCGGCATGGAGAGGGCGCGGGACCGCTGGCCCCTCCCGGCCCGCCCCCACACCCCACAGCCCCTCTCCGGCCCACGTCCTGGGAACGTTCCTCGAGCGCCCTCCGCCCCCCTCCCCAGCTCTTCCCCTTCCCTACCCGCACCCCCACCCCACCACTGCCCTAGCACCCACTCCCCAGAATGTCAATACCACCCCCACCGCTTGGGCAAGTGGAAACCATCAGTCTCCACTCCTGGCCTCTGGGACCCCCCCCCATGAATCCTTGTAAGGGGCCCTGGCCCTCCTCCTGTCCTACAGAGTCCTGGAGGAGACCCCAATGTACCTCAAGGTGGAGGGCAGGAGGGGCGTCAGAATAAGATGCCTAAGTGATGTCCTTGCCCGGAGGTGAAAGGGGCACCTGAGGTCTCAGAGAGAGTCCTACTCAGGTTCCCAGTGCTCCCCTTACTGGGCCCACTTGCCACGGGCTGCAAGTGGGTAATCCCATTTCATTCCCACCCCACACCTGTAAGATGGGTATTATTAATCCTACATTTTACAGATGGGAAACGTGAGGCTCGGAAGAGCAAAATGCCTTGCCCAAAGTTGTACAACTTCCAGGGGTTCTTGAAATCCGATCCCAGGTCTGACTCAAGAGCTGGTGGGCAGTTGAGAGCAGCCATGTGGCTGCACTAATTCCTGTCCCAAAGTTTCCCTGATGCTTCCTCCCAGACTGCACCTGCTCTCAGCTACTTGCACCTCCAGCCAGGCGTTCCCAGAATGCCAGCGCCAGAGGCCCCAGACTGATGCCCACGGTAGAGACAGGACTACAAGAGACTCGCTTGCGCTGACTAGGTGTGCTGGCCGGGCCCCCCGAGACCCCCCTCTCAGCCCAGGCCTGCCCTCGGCTCTGCAGGCAGTCCCCAGAATTGGTGTTGTTCCCAAGACAGCCAGGGTCATCTATGCTTTAAAGGTCAGCAACCTTGCTCTTTCTCCCATCCTCACCCCCAAGGAAGGACTTCTTTTGTCTACCTTGATCCCTTCATGGCCCCTAACCAGTTTCCTCTTGCTTTGCTCCCCTAAGCAATGCTTTTTAAATGACAGAGAAGGCTCTGAGGAGAGCTGGCTTCCCTGCTTCTTGCCCTCGGGGCTCCTCTCAGCTTCTTCACATCACCCTAGCTTCTGAAGGCAAAGTGGAGCGCTCTTACCTCAAAAAGTCCAAAAGAACACCCAATGTTCCATCATGACCCCTGCCACGTCCATAATAGCTGATAGGCCCATTTGATCCTCACCCCCATCCTCTGAGTGACATAATATTATAGGTCCCTATTGCCGATGAGACAACAAAGCACAGAGAGGTTAAGTGACTTGCCTAAGGTCAACAAGAAACATTTCTAGCATTCCAAAACCCCAAAGCAAAAAAATCCTCTTACATCCTAATATAGCAGGACTTGCCCACCAAGGTTCCCATCAGGGCTGAGAAGTTAGCCCTCGCTCTCTGATGGGCTCTTAGGTGCCAGGAAATGTTCTAGAGGAGCGGCATTCCAATTTGAGAGACCATCAGATCCACCTGGAGGGCAACAGACAGCTTGGCCCTACCTCTGGAGTTTCTGATTCAGTAGGTCTAGAGCCTGGGAACTTGCATTTCAAAAGTTGCCAGGGAATGCTGGGGTCAGGGGCAACACTTTGAGGATCACTGCGCTAGACAGTTTACACATACGAACGCCAACTTTTATTAGAACACCAAGAGGTAGGTGTAAATTTTTCTCATCCTACAGATGATGAAATTGAGACTCCGAGAGGTTAAGTAACTCACCCAGGGCCCCAGAGTAAATGGTGAAGCTGGGACTGAGCACTTCCTCTAAGAGAGGACGGGTATTTTATATACACTGTCTCACTTAATCCTCATACTAATCCTGTGAGGTGGTTATTATTTTTATCCTCAATGTACAAAATGAAGACAGAGGCTCAGAGAAATTAACTTGCTCAAGGCCACACACCCCCCAGTGAGCGGAATAAGTCGTATTCACATTGCCGAGGCTAGCTCTGCCTAGCACTCCTGGCTTTCTTTTTACCTCTGTTCCTGTCCTGCAGCACACCTCCCCCAGAGGTCTAGGGACAGGGGCCAGACAGGAGAGTCCACCCTCCAGCCTAGATGATGTAGGAGACCCCAGCTCTGCTTCCCACACTCATTGTTCCTCCAAACTAAGGAACAGAGTACGGAGCTATAACAGGAAAGGCCCCAGGAGAAGCTTCCTGATAACCACAGGCCTCCCTTGGGGGCCCAAGCTCCAAGGAGCACCATAGCTCCAGCCTCCAGCACTCACTGGCGCCCCTTACCCAGGAACCTGGATCTTGGGGCAGATTGGGGAACTCAAGTCAGGGGTCAAATCAGCTCCCCGACCCCAGCCAGAATGGGGTATCCGAGAACACCAAAGAGACACATCAAAAGTAAAATCTTTCAAACTGCTTTAAATAGGTAGAAGCAAAAAAAGAGCAAAAGAACAGTCCAGAACAGAGGACAGACTACTTCTTTAAGGTCTAGCTCATGACAATGCACATTTCTCCTGATTAGTGTGTGCCTGTGTGGATGACTTAACTAGTACACTCAGGACTCCCACAGTGAAACACTGCCAATTCTCACCATAGCCTGGAGGGGACAAAGGAAAGGCACAGAGGCGTTCACGGAAAAGTCCAGAGCCCTGCCCAAGTTAAGGCATCAAAGAGGGTGGGCAAGCCCGGCCTCTGCACTGCACATCCTCCCAGCAATCTGGAAGCCCTGTCCACAGTGTCTGAGAGGCTTGGGCAGAGGAAAGCCCCGGGGGCCTGTTTCCCATGCTCTCTCATCTGTGAGATTGTGCTGGGGGGACAGGAGGGAGCAAGGGCAGGTGTTGATCCACTAGAGGCCCCCAGGGGAGAGCTTCAGGAGGATGGCCAGGCCAGGAGCGGGCCCGCTCTGCCTGCTGACCTTGGGAAAGTCAGGGATGCCACATCCTGCGTGCATGCCCCCAAACTAGGATGGTTGTCTTTCCTATCTCCTGAGCTTGGTATAAAGCCAAAACATGGGCCTACAAAACACAAGAGGGGCTTCAGTGAGCGCAATGCTCTGACCGAGGCACCCTGCAGGTAGAGGAGGATGGTGTTTGGAAGGAGGGAGGGGGACAGGTCTGGCCTTCATCACAGGTCTGGAAGTAACCAGGGCACCCCTTGCTTAATGACCAGTGTCAGCTGAGAATGTCTCCGGGCCATTCACACGTTTTGTACTCACACCTTGTACCACCTCACGGAGGTCATTCTTCCCATGCCATTTCCCTGGAGTAAAGAAGCTGCTTAGAATTTCAACTGTTTAGAATTTCAGTGTGTGCATGTGTGTATCTGGGATTAGGGGCCTCTTTCTGGCATCATGGGATTGATGAACAAGTCCCCATGAATCCTGTGGAATTCCACCCTGAGCCCCAGAGCTTTGCCTTCGCTCGCTGAAAGGCCCTAACCAGCTAGCTGGCAACTCTCTGAAGCCTTCGCCCCCCTCCCATCCTCCCTTCGGGGGCTTGTCTGAGGACTGACTCGGCACTCCCAAGTTTTACTAAAGTAATAAAAGTACTCAGCACGTGCAAATCCTATTATTAAATATTCCCACCAGCCAGAATCTTCGGGCCCCAGCAGACATTCCAAGGCAAATGTCAAGGCAGGAAATGGTCTGCCACCTTTTCCCACATCCAAGGATCCGTCACACACACACACACACACACACACACACACACACACACACACACGCTGAGGGGAGGGAGGAAAGAGGGGCAAGGTGGCCCGGACTCTAAGTTTAGCTCCAAGGGCTTGCCTGGCATGGCAGACGGAAACAGGCTGACTGTAATAAGGAAGCTGATACTCTCTGGCCCCGGGGGAGTCAGACAGGCTCAAAGTTAGAGCTGAGAGGCAGAAAGTGGGCCAAGGCCACAGGACAAGACCCCTCCTGGGGTGCAGGCTCTAGGGGCTGTGGGAGGCAGGGCTGGGCCAGCCAAGGCCCCTGGGCCCAGAGACAAAGGAAAGATTTCAGCTCCCTCTCCCTAGGCAACCTGCCTACTTCCTGCCCACCCCCAGGAGCTTTGCTGAGACAGAAGCATGCCCCTGAGAGACTACCGAATGCTCAACAAAACCAGCTTTGCCAACAAGCCCAAACGGTGTGCCTGGCCCTGCTCTTGCAGGCCACAGAATGGGTGCGTTGGCTTACGCAGGGATCCCCACACTCTCAGCAAGAGGGCGAGGTGGGAGAATCTGTGCCCCGGGGTCTACCTTTCACACAGATCCCAGCAGGGGGCGGACAGGCAGAAGGGCTTTGGGATACCCCACAGGCCAACATCTCCAGAAAAAAACCAATCACGGGGCCAGATTCAAACGTGGGGCATCCCCTCCTCCCAGTTTTCCCCTTTCCCACGCTCTTCTTCATGAACTCCTTACCTCCCCCTTCCTTTCCTTTTCTCTGAGTCGGTCTGAGCACCCTCTCCTTAATTGTGTTCTCATTAGACAAGCCCTTAATAAATACATACCAAGGGAAAGAGGGTTGCGCAACATGACGCCCTCACAAGTGATAATTAAACACAGATCACAGCAATTAAGCAAATCAGGGAACAAGGAAGGGGTGGGCAGGACAGATATATTACCAGTTACAAGCTCAGGAAGGGACTGGCACCCACAGAAACCTCAGCTGCAATAATGCAACCTTGGAAACTCTTCTCTACTGAAGAGAGGGTATCTTGGGAGGTCAGGAGAAATCTGTAGTCTCAGTCTGTTAGACTGAGTTTGACATGAGGCCAGGGGACTGGGGGGTGGAGGACCCCTGGAAGCCTACTGCTCTGTGCCCAATCTCCACATTTGTCTGGGCCCCCAAGCCTCTATCCCTGCATGCCTCACCCCTCCCTCAGCTCATCTGCACAATCCTGCTAACCTTCCCTCTCAGCCGACTTTAGTCCACTGGGAGGCAAGTCCGTCTGACAGAGCCCAGGAGACCTGGATTCTGTCCCACTTGACCATCGATTGGCCATGTTGAGCGAGTCGCCTTCCCTCTCTGGACCCCGGTTCCTCATCCTTCGGGGCGCTCTGTGATATTGGGTTTCCAGACTTCCTGCCAGCCCTGATGCTACCAGTTGGCTGACCAGTCGCCTCTGCATCTCCCCGACCAGACTGGAGCAAGGATGGCATCCGTGTCCCAAGCTCAAAGCAATGCCCCCTGGGCGGCCTCAGCAATGGCCTCCTGGCAAGGTGCAAAGAGGACCCCTGGTGGTATTCCCTCTGCAAACCAGAGGGGTAGGGAGCAGTGTAGGCAGGACCAGCTCTGGGGCCTGCAAGTCTCCCACCTAGAAATCACTCTGCTTTTTCCTGGGCTCCCAGAGGGTAGCTCAGGGACTTGTCCAAACCTGCTCCAATGGGCTCCTGCTCCTCCCTGGTCTACCCAGCTGAGCAGTCCTTGGAGGAGGTGGGGGCTCCCCCCTGGAGAAAAGTACCAAGACTCTGCCCACAGTCCTCCTCCAGTGTATAGTGTGGTTTCCCACTGTGGTTCTATGAATATTCTAATGGCCCAGTCACTGGCATCCCACCACCCAACTGGGCAGTAGGCAGAAGGGAAGCCAGAGGTGTTGATAAGTGGGCTGGATTAATGACTGCATGCATGTGAAGTCCCCAGTGAGCCCTTCCCCTAGCCATGGTTACAGTGGGAACCTGAGCTGATCAGACACGGGATGGGGGGAGCAGGCATGCAGCCGTACTGTGCCCGCCCCCATGAAGAGGCACCTTAGAGCTCAAGGAGGCACCCACCTCCTTAGGTCACTGTGAAACGAGCACACCTCTGTGCCAAAAGGACAGGAGAAAACACCAGTGTCCGCTCTCTAGCTGTGGCCATGTAATTAAATCAGTGGCTCCTGAGTGAGAGAAACACTCTATCCCCCTCCACTACCATGTGCCAACACGGCGGGTCTGCATACGGTTTATTTACATTTGCACAAACAGCAGCGACTGCCCTTATAAGCTCCGTCCCCCTGTTTGCAGCACAAATGCCTACATCACGTGCCCAGCCCGAAGAGGGGAGCTGCCAAAAGCCAAATCTGACAAATACAAACAGGAAGAGGCGCAGGTGCCAGAGATGGAGTTAGTTTACATTGAAATCCAGCTACGGTTTTTGAGGAGATTGTATTCTGGACTAATATTATTCTCTAATCTCTTGGAGCTCGTCACTCAAAACCATCGTGTACATATTAATAGATATTAAGACTCTGCTCCTTCTGTGGCCTCTGGATATATCTCCTCGGTCTTCATATTCATCCCAAAAATGAAGAGCTGAGAGCAAGTTAAACAGGGCCTCCCCGTGGAATCTCTTTGTAAGAAGAGAGACAAGATCCCTCCTAAAAGGGGGCTTGAGCCATCCTCCAAGTCCCTCCAACCCTCTCCAGTCCTTGGTGTGGAGCCTCAGGGAAGACAGTGGGCACTGGAGGAGATAGAGGGCAGAGGAGAGAAACAGAAAAAGGGCCAGGAGGAAGGGGAACCCCCCTCCGCCCCCGCGCACCCCTCCCCACCCCCTCCAATCGGTGCATGCCCGATGCCTGGGCAGCAAGCATCCAAGTTGCAAACAGCTCTGGGCAGGGGTTAGAAACCACCATCCCAACACTCACACGGGCGACCCCCTGGCGTCCCCTCCACCTAGGGCACACGCCTAAACCTCGGAACCCGGGACACCCGTGCTGCAGCCCCGAGAGGTAGCTCCAGAAGCCTGGAGCTGAAGGCGCCCGAGGCGGCGAAGAACTAATCACGGGGCTGCCACCGCTGGGGCGGGGGACGCGCGCGGTCCCCAGGGAGCACCGCCGTCCGAGCCGGGCGGCCGGCAAGAACCTGGTGGCCGCGGTGCTCATCCGGCACCATGCCGCACTCCAAAGCCCACCGGGTCCGAGGCACCTCTCTTCTAAGTGTCCCCTCCCCGGGCGGGGGCGGGGGAGGGTGGAGAAGGAGGAGAAGGGGTCAAGCCGGGGCTGCCTTACCCAAAAGCCCGGTGCCCAGCCATCTCGCCCGGGCTGCGCCTCGGCCCCCGGCCCCGGGCATGGTCGCGTTGTCTCCGGAGCGTGCCAGGGGCGCGGGGATGGGGTACGGGGCGCAGCGGCTGGCAGCCCGCGGTCTGCAGTGGGCGGCGAAGCCGCGGGGAACTCCGCGCCGCGGGTCGGGGCTCGCGAAAGTTAGCGGGAGAGCGCAAGAGGCGGCGGAGGGAGGGAAAGGAGGAGCCGGCTGCCGGAGCGGCCGCGGAGGGCACGGGCCGGAGAAGGAGGAGCGAGAGGAGGACCGCCGAGCGAGCGCAGAGGAGAGCGGCGCTGCGCCTCTGCTCTGGACGCGCTCCAGCCGCAGGAGGGGCGGGGGCCGCCGCGGAGCCCG